TTCTTTCTCTATAAGAAGAAAAAACTGTAATTTTTTTTTAAAAACTCACTATCATGGAGTCAATTCCAACTCAACTGCAAATCTTTACAGAAGCACACAGTTTCATCTTTCTCCTGAGGAGCGGCTGGTGGGTTTGAACCACTGACCTTGTAGTTAGCAACCCAACGCTTAATCCACAATGCCACACAGTTAAATCCTTGAAAAGGGCTTCTGGTGTATTTTCATGGGAAACCAGCAGGAGATGGGCAGACTTCAATCTATACCACAGCCAGTCTTGCTGGGAAATAAATCCCAAGAAATAAAGAAAGTAGGAGCAAATTAAAAAAAGAAGAAGAAAGAAAAACAAACCAATTCCCTGATTCTGTGAGTACATAAGGAAGAAGGCTGAGAGGTTGAGCCTGAAGGAGCTTAAATTTTGAAAGAGGACTATGAAGACTTCTGGATAAAACTCACATGGTTTACTCAATATTAAAGAAATTTATTATCAAGTAAGTAAGAGGGAACACTCATATAAAAAGGAAAATTAAGCATAAGCTAGCTATGTTGTTGTTGTTGTTAAGTGCCATCGAGTCGGTTCCGACCCATAGCGACCCTGTACAGGGTTTCCGAGGGTGTAAATCCTTACGGGAGTAGAAAGCCTCATCTTTCTCCCGCGGAGCGGCTGGTAGTTTTGAACCACTGACCTTAAGGTTCGCAGCCCGATTCGTAACCACTACGCTACCAGAGTACCAAGCACATAAAGCAAATGCTTCAAGAGTTCAGAGGAAGAACCAAAAAAATCAAGAACTCAGGCAGGAGAAGTCAGAATTTTTTTATAGAATCTTAAATGACTGTTTAGGGTGTTCAGGTAGTATGTTGACAATCCATATGGCTAAAGGAGAGAACACCAAGATCTGAGAAAGATGCAAGAGAATATGTGTATATTGCTGCCTTAGGTCCTCATGCACTTTTCCTATGTTTTTGTCTTTCTCCCTACCTAGACTGTCAGTTCAGAGGCCAGGAACCATTATAATTAACCTATTAGCTAAGTGTCAGCCACATCCTGCTGTTGCTGCGGCATGCCATCACATCAGTTTTGACTCACAGTGACCCAATATAGGGTTTCTGACGTTGTAAATCTCTACAAGAGCAGAAAGCCTCATCTTTCTCTTGTAGAACAACTGTTGAGCCACATCCTAAGAGCTCAGAAAAAGTTGGTGACATTTTTTCTATATTTAATCTCAGAATAGCCTTGATGCATTTCTAATTTATATTTTTTAAATACCAGTATTAAAAATGGCAAGACTTCCTGAAACAGTAAGAAATTGTTGTTGTTACATCGAGTTGGTTCTGACGCATAGCAACACTGTACAGGGTTTCCAAGGAGCAGCTGGTGAGTTTCAATTGGCAACCTTGTGGTTCAAATCGACTTTGTAGTCCAGTACATTAACCCACAGTATCACAGCAGGACTCCAATAAGAAATTAGGATCCATTAATCAAAAGAATAATTTGTAAGCACTCAAACCAGTTTACAAAAACATTCAAGGATTTAATACATTTTTCAAAACTGGAAGGTACTCAGAAATGAAAATTTTTTTAAATTTTGAACTGTTAGGATTATCTAATGGAAGAGGCAAGTAAATGGGAAGTTAGATGGAGTGGTATAAGCAATTTTAAAACAGGTTTACAATCAGTTTTTAAACAAAAATCCCTCTGGGAAATGAAAATTCCTTTCCTTAATCCCTTTAGTGGTGGTGGTTATGTGCCAGGGCTCCGACTCATACCAATCCTGTATAGGGTCTCCAAGGCTATAAATCATTACGGGAGCAGAAAGCATCATCTTTTTCCCAATCTTAATCCCTTTAAAAGTAACATAATGTTCAAATTAGGAACAAGTGGCATCAGGATTGGAGGAAGACTCATTAACAACTTGTGATATGCAGATGATACAACCTTGCTTGCTGAAAGTGAAGAGGGCTTAAAATACATACTGATGAAGATCAAAGACCACAGCCTTTGGTATGGATTGCATCTCAATGTAAAGAAAACAAAAATCCTCACCACTGAACATTCTTATCAATGGAGAAAAGATTGAAGTTGTCAAGGACTTCCTTCATTCTTCTTGGATCAACTATTAACACGCTTGGAAGCAGCAGTCAAGAAATCACACATGTTGCATTATGCAAATCTGCTGCACAAGACCTTTTTAAAGTGTTGAAGAGCAAAGATGTCAGCTTGAGGACTAAGGTGCACCTGACCCAAACCAT